ATGCCAAGATCCTTTGCATAAATTAAAACTGAACAGTTGCAAAAAGGGTGAATTAGGAAACAGGAAACGGCAGACCCCTGGAGCATGAAACAGGCCAAACATGAATAAATAATGATGGAACATAAAGCGCTTTGGCTGGATGCTCAGTAGGTGACGTGGCTCTCAGGGGATTCCTGTCATTGTGTGACACAAGAGGCTGAGTGGCCGGACCATTGAATGCCACACTCTCAGACAAAACCATTAGCAGGCACGTTGACGCTCCTAAGCACTGCCTGCCTCTCATTCTCTTCCTTTTTCCTTCTACCGTCCACAGGAAAGAGCACTGAGTCAGACTCTCCACACAGACACAACACTGTGGCACGGGATGTGAAAACAAATGTAAAATGTCCAATGATGATGATTCAGTTGAGTGCGTGGCTAAAAATAATGCCTTTTCCATGATCACTGTATGTAGAGCACACTTTCATTATACCATCCACAACTGACAGCTGCACTTAAATTTAGTTAAACTGTAAAGATACTGTACAATTTGTATAACATTTTTCTGCAAAAATATATTTATCATAATACCAGCTACTATATTTTTCTTATACCAACCATAGTGCTTCTGTTGGTGTGATATTAACGTAGCTACTGCTGTTACTGATATCACATCACCATAACAGCATCTGGACATCTGTCCAACATCTGGACTTGAACTAGTGGGTCCAGAACAGATTACTGTTGCAACATAAACAGATAATGTACTGTATAATTAAAATCCATTTCACTTTAATAGCAACGTCTTATTTAATACTGCAATAATATTACAGTAGGCAATATGTGCAATAGGCAAATATTTGTGCTAATATGTGTGCACGCATTTATTGTGTCGGACCACGTCGGCAGCTCTGAAGCATCTGTACAGCACCTGGGTCTGGGGAAACGGTGTGTGCAAAGTCATTATCTCAGCTAAAGTGAAACAGGAAGAGTGTGGAATTAGTCTGCATCCCATGCTGTGAGACGGTCTCTGCTCTCCCTCTGGGCTTCCCCTTTAGTCTGGAGGGATCTGAAACCAGTACGCAACAGGACGCAAAGCTCCTTCTCAAAAGGCAGTTTGAGGGAAGTTGCAGCCTAGTTTCACACAAAACAACACAGCAAATGTGACATTTTCTGCAGTCACAAGCAATTTGCAAGCGTTAAATGTGAGAAAAGCCAAGATACCAAACACACCAGAATGCCTACAGCTGCATAAATATTAGCAGACCTTAAATGGTTCAAATTGCACTCCTGGGAAGGGAGAACCCTAAGCATACAGCTAGGAAGCAGCAAGTTCACAAGTGGTATGTACATGTTTGTATGTATTGTGTTATATAGGCTATTGACTATATAACACAACGCGTTCACTTTGATGTGAATTATTGCTAGAAAGAGAGAGAAAGATTCTATAATTTCCCAACCAAAACACAGAAAAACTACTCCTCAGCATCTGAATATGAAATAGCCTAAAGATGAGAGCTGCTGCTTAAATCAGCACATTTTAGTTCAAGAAGACATGAGAGAAAAAGAGGGTTGGTGAGGAAAGTGCGGAGTTGAAGATTTCCTTTCATCTGGACATAGATCAATAGGTTGTTTGGCTGGATTTAGGCCCATACAGCAGGGGCGCACAAACTTTCAAAATAATAAGCGCTACTATGCATCCTGGCTCACTAACGGCAACAGTTCATATCTGAAAGGAGCTGTAAAGTTCCCGTCTTCATTATCTTACTAATTAATGAATAAAATGACTGAAATTGAGAAAAATGCCCTTTAGAATTTCCTACATCTCAAAGGTGAGGTCTTCAAATGTCTTTTTTGTCCAACTCAAAGTTTGAGAGATAATCAATTTCCTATCATGTACAACAACGAAAAGCACAAATTCTTCACATTTAGGAAGCTAGAACAAGCAAATGTTTGACATTTTTTCCTTTAAAAGGACTATTATTGGATTATCTAAATAGTTGCTGTAATTTTGCCATTGATGATATCTCCTAGGTTTGGAATGTATTAATTAAATGTTCAGAAACAAAATAAGGATCCACATCCTGATCAGTTTGGCCCATCCAAAACGGGGACTATTGATGTATTGAACGGTGCCACCTCGCAGCAGTCACAGTCATCCATTATCTCACAAAAAAAAACTGCTCTGCCCTGGCTTCACCAAGCATACAGTAGTAGGAGCTGAGATGGATACAGCCTTCATGCATATTTCATCTGCTTCATCCTCTGTTTCGTCTTTCTCAGAGCCGGGTTCCCTTGAGGGCCAAACTTCCTGCTCTGATGGTGTCAAAGTTCTTGTCTGATAAACAGTCAGTGAGCCACGTTGTAGAAAGTTTAGCTGCTTTCCTGTCTGCCTGGCTGCCTGGCTGGCTGGCTGGCTGGCTGGCTGGCTGGCTGGCTACATGAGCAGGGAGTGGGCGGATTCCATAGAAACACTAGCATAGCATCCATGAGGACTGTGAGGGAATAAAAAGACAACCACTAAACAGAGCTCAGTGATTTTCCACAATGGAACATCATAGTATTAGTGCCACTGAGCAGAACTGCTGTCCAGCCCAATGGAGCGATCCCTGCTCTGTGTCTTTTGAGTACACAGACTTGTGGCATGAGAGCTATTTGATGTACACTGTGGGTGTATTCAATGTAACCTGTATGAAGAGAGACCAGAAGAGATTACAATGGGTCGGTCCTCTCTCAGCTACCAAACAAACATTTTGACGACACTCCCCACACGTGTCATACTTGTAAACTCGCTTATCCTGTTTCCCTGGAACTCAACAATATCAAATCATCTGTCTTATTCTCGACTGGCGCATCACACAACTGCAAGACACTGTTCTTGCCCTGAGGGTTGTCGTGGTCAGTGTAAAAAGACCATATCTCTGCTTTACCTCAGACCTCAGACCCTGCTGACCCATTTACAGAAACACTAGCATTCTCCAGTGCCAGCAAGTTAGACTGCAATACTTGTCAAGTATGCAGTCTGTTTCCTGGACGTTCTTGAACTAAAAACAGAGCCAGAGGAAAAAGATGCTTGGAGTTGCCTTCCTTCACAGCTGTATACACCACTCAGAAAGAAGATATTGCTGTGCCAATGCAGCTCATTTTTCTCCACTGCCCTTTTGGTTGATGATGCTTTTGAAGCAAAAAAAATGAGGGAAGGTAGCCTGGCAATGCTGTGGAGGCTGGGAACCATCTGTGCCTTTGTGAGGCACAAGCATAGAGTCAAAATATAACGCAAAATAGCTGCAACCTGCTGACAGCATACTGAGCAGCCTCACATTCTGTCAGAAATACGGGTGCTTCTATTTATTCAACGGAGTGAATGCCAAGTCAGTCCTCATTCCTGCTCCAATCTATCTCCATCTCCTCTTATCTCCTCAATTAAAGCCTCCTCTACTGCAGTAAAGGACGTGCCACTCCAACTGTATGCAGACCAGACCTCGCCTCTTGAGGACAGATAACAACTCTTTCTTCTCAGATCACACAGAGTGCTTTTCCCTGAATGTGTGCGTAGGAGAGAGCAGACAAATATGTTTCTGACCATATTAGTATTTTCCTAAGATCCTCATGATGAAGAGAGTGAAAACTAATCCTGATACAAACAAGAGGGTCAACATTCACAGAAAATAAAAGCTAAAATAAATGGCACATTGAGACGAACAAGAATGATCTGGTAATCTGATCTCAGAGTATTAAACTATAATTCAAGCTACTGTATAAGCATGAAGTGCCTTAGCTGGACTGGACAGTCATGTTGCTTAGGATTCATGAACTATTCCCAGTCTCTGGTACCACATCTACAACCAACCAGGCACAAGCATATTTGCGTGTCATGTATTCACTGCTCACTTTGAGTCAATACACAAGAGAATAGGCCCCATTTAGCTTTGATTCTTTAAAAAATACTATATCTCATTTCAAGAAAACAACTTGCACCTTAAGCAACACATTGCATTCGACCATTAGTTCCTAATGGCTTTAGCTGATAATGTATGCCTGGGAAATTGGTCCCTTTATAGACCGGCACACAGTCTGTGCACTTGTTGACCTGCACACGCTTCCAAAACTGCTCTACTCTGACATAACCAGCAGGAAATTCTCTATCTAGTCTTGAGTTTGTTTAGAGATAAAGTCATTTCCACCTCGACTACATTTTTGCAAATAAAGACTACTGCTTGACATTACTTAAGATAAAATCTCATCACTAAACCGGTTCATAAATGAGTCCATTTTGCCCTATCAAGACAGTATTCTGGACTTGTATAAACTTATATAACTGCCCCTCTCTGACAAAGTTCAAAACACTTAATTGTCACTCCACATTGATTGACAGGTCGATACAAGCTAACACTACACAGCAACTAATGAACTTGATGAACTCAGCATCAGGTTCAGGAGAACTGCCCACAGGCTCAGCAGCCTCTTAGATCCTCCATCTCATTACTGTGGCCAACGTGTGTGTTTTGGTTAAGATGGGCGCCCCACCAATGACTCCTTGTGGCCGAAGTTTCATGCTGACACACACTGGTAGTCATTTTTAATCTCTCTCAATCCCTCCCAACTCAAAATCCTCACAGCCGCCAGGAGGCCATACTTCTGCACACACACATTTATTCCCACAATCTCACATTGTGTTTTTTAATAAACTTACTTACTGCATTACTGAGCAGAAATCAAGGGTGTACATACTGTTTAAAAGTAAGAATTTATACAATTCCAAGTCTTGATTTTAACTTAAATGTCTGATCAGTACTTTTTGACCCAATAAATTAGACAAAGGTTTGTCCACATATTTAGATATGCAAATGATTGTCTCTCCACACAGCTTTTAGATGAGTCATAAGCACTTGCTGGTCATATTGGGGTACGGAGGGTTTGGAAAGTGTGCACTTTGTGTGTGAAAGTGTGAGACCCAGATGGTCATCTTAGAATTATTATAACCCCACAGCGCATTAATATGGTGGCATTTCCTTCCATAGGTAATAACTGGGATCTGGCGTATTCAGCATCTGAAGTGAGCAGTAAGCATCTGACGTACAGTGTACAGAACTACATTACTGCAGTCTCTGCCCTTCACCCCTCTTACCACAGCTGGACAAGGTCACTCCGAATCTTGTTACCCCACCCCCACCCTGACTCATTTCACAAATGTCAGTTTCAGCATGTGGATGAAAGACTTCAGTGCTGCTGCTAATTTTCTACTCACAGTCCCTGAGCATGTACTTAACAAAAGTGAATCCAGGACACCAGCAATGGTAGAAGATATTCCTGAGTATGTGGGGCAGCGATGAGAGGAGACCCTGAATTCCCTTTAAAAACACAATCACATACATTTAATTCTTCCCATTGAGCCGAGCGGTCAAGGTATCATTTCCTATCTAACAAAAACAAGCCATAGCACCGCTGTACAACTGGACATGGGTGCTCCCCACATAACCCCTGGCTATAAATAGCAAGCCAATGACAGGAACTACCTGGATAATGAGTTGAACAGAGGATGAGCAGCTATAGAAAAGACAAGGGAGAATCACCGCTCCAGGCTCTACAAGGACATTGCAAGTATGAGTCAAGGAAAGAGACGCTTCTGCCTCACAAAATCATAATAAACCCAAACAGACAGATTTCAAATTAAGCAATCCTATTAGTTGTGTTCATGTAGTTTTTGTAGCTACACCCTTACAGCAGACATCATAGACACAGGAAAGACAGAAGCCTCTTCACACAACACTTATCAGTAAATGTCAATGATTAATAAACTGTATGTATCCACATTAGTCAGTGCTATAGTCTTACTGCCCATCAGACCAGCCTCCCTTGGTGCTTTTTTGTGTCAAGCACAGACTGTCCCCGAACACAGCCCAGAAGGCAAAGACAGATTTCCAACTATTTCCCCTTCTTGGATGGTTAACCATGAGAAAAACCGAGGGTGTAATTACCTACAAACAACATTCACATTGACTGCCTCATAAATGACTGGTGCGCTGCTCATATTTGAAGTCTCCTTTCTCCGGGCATAATCAAAAGGAACAGAAGAGAGTGAAAGCTGTCATTTGTTGCCCATTTGGTTTCTCCCAAAGGATCCGAGCGCGCACCACTGCAAGGCTGGTCTCTTCTATAAACATAAGACTACAACGTAAGCTCTGCAATTAGGATTTTTTTACAGCTTCACTTTTTGTCTTTATTGAGATGTCCAATTATGCTGCACAGCAAGCCATGGTAATAGTTTATTATAATTATTATTATTATTATTATCATTCACTATTTTAGACAGTGATCTGATGTTTCTGAACACTTACAAGTCAATGTTACGTGGCAAGAGTAGAATTACACACAGGAGCTTAGTCAGGATAATTTGCTATATTGAAGCATTTAAGTACCTATTAAAAACATAAACAGCAAACCTTAACAAATAAGCACAGTAAACACAACAAGACCTTGTTTGAGTGCTTCACATGGCACTGATCTAATGAGGAACAAACGGCTGACTGATCATGTGAAGAAAAACTGCTCGCAGCGCACTGAAGTGGTTCCAAAGGCAACTTGCCATTGCCAGCAAAATGTGAAATTTACATTAAAACACAGGAAAGCTTGAGCAGTAGAGCTTATTCGGTAAATGAATTTGTAACTTGATCCGCCAGTATATTCCCAGGTTTGTGTCAGGAAGGAAAGTATGGGAATCCTACAAAGAAGGTGCTAAACAGCGCCTATAAAGATCTCAGATTAAACCTTTCATTGATATATTCTTTGTAATATAATGATAAAACTAAATATGTGTATTGTTAAAAGAACTTGAGCTCAGGACATGACTTCAGTGGTAGCTACCACTGAAGTCATGTCATCTGGATTGATGGGAAGAATTTGGGGGTTTCAGCAACCTGAGGGGACTTTACAGTATAAAATTAAAACCTTACACATAGTGGGTGTTCTATTGGCTCCAGTATTTTGGACTCAGTATGTTTACATTTGATTACTTCTGTGCTAACAAAATTATAAATAGATAAAAGCCACTTCTCCTCCAGATATATATTCCTGGCACGGTGGAGAAGGCTCTGAAGCTGCATTTAGACCTTCATGCTGGGAAATAAGATTTAGAGGAAATCTAACAAAAGACTTCACATGAATATAAAAACTTTCCATTTAGGATTATGAATTTCCTAAAGGTGGTGGAGCGTAAGCTGCAGTGTCTTCACTGACCTGTGGAGAGAACAGGCATGTCCCTCCACACAGGAGAACATTCATAGAGTTATCAGGTAGAACAATACTATCAGTGCATTAAGGCTTTTACTTATAACCACGGTGGGGTAGGGATTGAACCAATAAAAGGGATATTTATAAAGCAGATGGGGAGCACTGATCGAACAAGAATCCTGTTGAACTCACGACTCCACATGGTGCAACGTTAGCAAGTGAACTGAGACATTCAGGAGGAATATTGAAGCCATGTAACACTGAAAATAGCGTTATACGACTTTCTGTTGGCCAACATTACAGCCACACAGTGACACATCCTCCGGCTCATTATATCATATCAGGAGCGACACGTCTGCTTCACAATGACAGTCATTAAATTACAGGAGCAGAAATGTCCACAACATCCAAGCTGTCATCAAAGTCCGTTTGACGTCGCCGCTCAGACCAATTGATCCCGAGCGACTCTCTCTGACAGCTCCGTTAACGTCCAACGACAACGGAAAAGCGTTAACGGTAAAGTTTACACATTTTAACTCCACCAATTGGTGACAGAAGAGGGAAGAAGCTGTAGACGGGCAGACATAAATGAGTATTAGCCTCTAGCTTCATCTCACCTGTTCAGTATTGCGGCGGTTGTTTGATCAGGATGCTGCTGCCGCCGCCTCACGCACGCGAGTCATTAAAGTGTCACCGCCGGCCCGTGCTGGAGCCGGTAGGTGGAGCGCGTGAAGCAGGTTTGGCGCAGTGCTCGGAGAGATTTCTGGGAAATGTAGTTTTTGTGTTAGACGCTGGGAATTGGTGAAATTACAGGTTTTCCAAGTGTACATTCAAAGATATTTTATATATACGTCTAAAATCGTTCATGTCTGTGTATTTAGGACTACTTACTTATTGTTTTTTTTTTTTATTATTGAATTTCTTGATGGGAATGAATTATATATACTGTCAGTGGAATGAATGCTGGACATGGGATAGTCTTTCATATCTTCTGTACCAAATGTGTCAACAAAACTGCCTCCACACTGAAATACGCGGCAAATAAAAATCAATCACATGCAAACAGACCCGACCATACCATATTAAGTCTTTATGCCAATTTGGAGGCAGTGCAGTCTTTTGTTGTTGTATTGGATTGTATGGGTTTTAGTAATATTTTGTCATCCCTTATAGAATTACCGCATCTCTGACGCATTTGCAATAAAAACAAAATGTAGGCCGATACATTCACACAGCACAGATATAGGATTTATTTCAGATGATTCTGAGGTGTTTCTAATATCAGATTTAAATTATTATACTAAAACCATAAGATGATTCATGATAGTATACCCCTATTGATACAGGCTAAGTGAGGCGCAACGCGTGTATAGTCCAATACAATTCAACAATACACGAACTACTAACTCCAAAATGATCATAAAGTTTCAACAAAAACATTGCATAACACCGATGAAGGTCCGATTTACCGCAGGGTGATGTCGAAGTCACGTTGGTAGGTTGTGTCGAATGTGCTGACACGAACTTAAATAAATCCCATGATGAGAGAAAATGACTTTTAAAATACTTTTAGAATATACATGGTTTCACCTGCTGCTGTGCATTTATGTCATTACACAAATACGTATGCTTTAATTGTGATTATGATTAATTCGGTTCTCAGACATTAAATATGTGACGAATCAGCACTCGCTCTTCAATGACTACATTTACCTAAAGGACTGTCATTGAGAAACATGGCTGCCTCCACGGGTGCTGCAAGCGCTGCTGGCTCCGACTCACAAGGTCCAGCTTCGGCTGGTCCGAGTATGGACAGCCCAGCGTTACAGTACAGTATGATCCTGGACCATCTGATCGGGGACAAGAGGCCCGTAAAGGACTTGAGCCCCGGCGTTATGGGGGGGCTGCCGGTGCCTCTTAAAAGCGACGAGCAGAAGATGATCGAGAGGGGAATGGAGAGCTGCGCCTTCAAGGCGGTTCTGGCCTGTGTGGGAGGTAAGGCACTAACATTATAAATATATACCGTATTACAGCTGCTCAACATCTGGGTGTTTATGTTTGCCCGCCCGGCTTCAGTTTACAGCCAGGTGTAATTGTTTTAACTTCACAGTTAGTTTGAAAGGGACTGTGGGGTTGGGACTTCTTGTGGGATTTCAGTATGAGGGCCCATAATGTGGAGCTGAAATTATCAGCTGATTGACAGAAAACTGGCTATAATCAATTAAAGGTTTAAGGCATTTTTTAAGCAAAAATGTAAAGCATCCCCTACCCTAGCTTCTCATTTATGCTTGTCTTTTCCTCCTGTGCAGTAAACAGATTATATTAAGGTTTGGTACTGTTAGTCTGACAACAGGAGCAGTTAAAAGACGACTCCCTGGAGTTTGGGAATCTGTGATGTCCACTTTTCACTATTTTATAGATCAGACGATTCATCTGTTACAAAAAATAATTGTCAATTGCAGTCCTGCCATATTTCCTCTTCATTACTCATACATGATCAATAACTTTTATCTTTCTTCAGGTCAGTAAATGTTTTGATGTATTGTGCAGACACTCATGTTGGTGTTTTCGTTCTCCACAGGGTTTGTACTCGGAGGAGCTTTCGGTGTTTTCACAGCAGGCATTGATACCAATGTTGGCTTCGACCCTAAAGACCCTCTGAGAACTCCGACAGCACGAGAAGTCCTCAAAGACATGGGCCAGAGGGGGATGTCGTACGCCAAGAACTTCGCCATCGTGGGCGCCATGTTCTCCTGTACAGAGTGCATCATAGAATCAGTAGGTCACACCACTTCTCATCATTGTGTGGGGCTCTAGGTGACATACTGATGTTGGATATAACCACACAGCTTCATAAACATGACTGAAACTAATGACTTTGACAGACAAAACAGACTCATTATGTGAATATGATACTACTGTAAGTCCACTGTAAGATTAGATTTAATGAATAAAATAACAATGAATTATTTTCAGGTTGCTCAACAGGAGAACTAAACTGAACAAACCAAAGAAATAAATGAGTTCAGAGGATTTCATTAAACAGGGACTAGACAAAATAATGTAAACACTGCTAGAAGGTATTAGTTACATGATTTTACTACCACAGCACCCAATAGACCAAATTTCTGGTCAAGTAAGTGGAGCATCAGTACGAAAAACTGCAGAATTATTTAATATGTCAACAGGAACAATATGAAAATCATGACGACAAACACAATAAAATGAGGTGAATAAATGTGCTAACAAGCATTGAAACTAATATGAGCCACCTTTGGATGTTTGTTATTGTGATTACTCGTCTTTTATGAATTATTCATATATAATTGTTGTGTCCAGACAACAGTATATTTGCTTCTATATTGTTAAAAAAAAAGCTCAGGGATAATCTATCAAGGCGTTACAGCCAAAATAAGGAAATGCTAATCTTAATATTGTTACTGTAATACAGTCCAATATCCCATGTTGAATGTTTGAAGGTTTTTTGAGAACTTTATGGTAGTTCTGCTTTTTTAACTCAATCAAAATGGTCTGATAGCGCCCTCTGGTGCCAGCGTGCTTATTGTTTTTCATTTTTAAACTGATTATGAGCACAACGCTACCACATGTACAGTACTTAACTTACAAAGTAAAAAAAAACAACAGCTCACTCAGTCAAATGAATACAGTTCAGATATAACAAGATGCTAACTTATAATTCTGATTGGAAGTCCTCACTGGCGTTTTTTTCCATCTGCGTCACATAACATTACACCTGTTATTGATTTGCAGCACCGAGGTAAATCTGACTGGAAGAACGCAGTGTACAGCGGTTGTGTAACTGGAGGAGCTATTGGATTTCGTGGTACGTTACCTGGTGTATTTACTGTGAGGTTTTAAAATGAAGGTAGTATGTTTCTCTTGTCCTCACATTCATTCTTCTTGTATTTTGCAGCCGGTCTGAAGGCTGGGGTGCTGGGATGTGGAGGATTTGCTGCATTCTCTGCTGCCATTGAATATTATTTGCGGTGAACCACTAAAGAGTGGCTCTATGGACAAGAACTTAATCGGTGCACATCTGGACCGGCCCTGTGACAAATCCCACCTTGTGAATATTTACCTGCACATGGAGGATTGCTGCAAAAGCAGAAGTGATGTATGTGATGGAAGTGACAGGTTCCTGTGTGTGTACAGTGCTGTTCAGTGAATGCACAGTGGGCTGAAGAAGACCTGTATGTATTTCCCAGTGTCTCATTACTTTTATCATACGGACAATTTGAGCAAAGCAGACCAACTTCCTGTGGAGAATCTCCAGAAACAGCAGAGTGGATCTGCCTCTGTGTCGAAGGTATAATTTTGAACACAAATCACCTTCGGTCTGAGTCTCGACCAGCTGAGATCAGACTCAGATAAACACTGTTCTTGTTGTAGAACATTGGTATGATGTGTCAATAACTAATCACCATCAGGAGCATTTATATTAAAGAGGGTTTTTTTGTTAAATTGTGCATTCAGGACTTTTTTTCTTGATGAAGTTTACATGTGTCCATGACCATAAAATTGTTAATTGCATAACAGTTTTGATTTTAGTTTTAATTTGTATAATCTATGTACAGTAAAACTTCTAATAAAAGCAGTCCCAAATAGAAACAGGTCTACCTTACTAGCCTTTTATAGAAATTATCTGGATGTATAAAAGCCACTTGCAAATTTGAAGGTGCTTAGATTGCCTGTGCAAATAAAATGGACATGCTGCACATCGCTAGATTGGTAAGATTTTCCACAATTCAATCGTTCGTTAATTTTAAAGAAACTATGGGCACCAAAGTATAATTCATTCAGATTTATCAGCATGGTAGACGGGAAGAAAGTGCTCCCAACTGTTTCATTAATATTCATCCAAGTTGTGAATATTGTCCGTTGCTCACTGTCTGTATGCTGGGTGTTGTAAATCTTTGGCAAAACCATGTTCACCTTTAAGTGTCACAGAGAAAAAAGTACAACCTGAAATTCAAGCTGTTAGTTGGTGAACAAAACTCAGGAGAAGCAGCATCACATAGTATTTCCATCTTTACTGAGCAACAGGTTTGTGCTAAAGGAATGTGCAAGGGCTATTATTAGAAGTTTTACAGTAATGTTGCCTTTAGTCATAATTATAATGAGTTGAAGTACAAATTTAAGTGTTTACAGAGGAAAATGATTTTAGGTTTCCACCATAAGACCTCTGGAGGACCAACAGAGCCTTTACAGAGCTACATATACACCAGGGGAGGATGTTTTTATAAATTATGAGTATAACCCATTTTCATTTAAGAGTAGTTGAATTAGTTAGTTACTTTTTGGTAAGACTTTCATTATCCATTCAGACAACAAGCTCAGGTTATTAATTATTTCCCAATATGGGTGTTACAGTTTGTATAGACTGAGGAAACACAACACAAACCTGTTTATTGATATCAGAAATACTGAAAACGTGCTTCAGAGAACCATCATGCTATATGTTTGTAACATGGACACTTTCAATCTACAGAGCACGTGAAGCTCTGGCGACCCCTACTGGGGGTGGGAACCAGTGCTATAAAGTAAAACCTTCATTAAAGGGAAGATTTATTTCAGGACTGTTATATTAGACTGCATTAGTTTTAGCTCGGTGTGCCTAATAAAGTCACTAATTATTGAATATCTACATAATGTTTCTACAGTAAGAATAAATAATATAGATTACCTGAAATAAAGTGAACACATGGGAAACAGGCAGAACCAGAGAGCAATGAGGACTTCATTAATGGATATTTTCACATTCCTGTCAACTGTGGGCAGAGCAGTGAGCACAATCCTTTTACAATCTCCTTTTCTCAATCAACACTCACACACATACACACATAACACGTCTCCACTTAAAGCCCTTTGCTCTTAAACAAAGAGAACACACAATACCCATCAACGGCGAGTTCTTAATGGGACAATTACATAACTCCATATTAACTCATGATGTCTATCTCATTGACATTAAACACAAAGAGGGGGGGGGTGCACCGGTCCTGGAGGTACTGCAATACCAGGTCGATGCGTGGAGTGGACGGAGCAAGCCCCTATTCCATCTCCCAGTTCCAAAAATCAATTTAATATATGGTCCCCGGGTAGGGGACGTATCAGATATTAAACTGATAAGAACAGATACTACACTTGATCTTAGCCAAAAGGCCGAGAAGCGATGCTGAACGACGGTCGGCGGGAAGGATCCCACTCCCCGCACCAGGACTCTCACTGACGGTGTCAATTTTTTAGTTTCAGTAACAATTTCACTTAATAAGACAGAAACGAGTACACTACCTTATAAAACATAGTCATATAATAAAAAGCAGAAAATAGCGACAAAACGTGTCATTTTAACGAAATAAGGCTGTCGCATATTCACGTAAAAACAACACTTCCTGGTCATGTGACAATGTAGTCCAATAGGAATTTAAAACGCGAGAGCTGCTATCATAAAGAGAGCTGTAACTTCTATTGTAAACAAAAGTAATGTTGCCTGAATAATACATGCGAAAATACACTTCAATCATGTAAAAAGTCTTCTCTGAGGATAGAAAATAAGGTTTATTTAACTGCCTGACAGACAAAACAAACGGAACTGACGCTCCCTCTAGTGGAGAACAGAGAGAACTGCACCCTGCGGCCTGCTGCATGTACATACAATGAAATACAATGAAATACAATGAAATACAGTGAAATACAATGAAATACAATTCGTATGTAACGTTATTAATGACAGACTGTGTGATGGCTCAAGTCCTCCACAGGCTACAAACCTGAGAGAAAGGACTTGTGTCTTTTTCTGCGTTTTCAGTAAACTAAATTGAACTTAACAATAAATATTTAAGCCTCACAACATGAACTTGAGGTCGTTCATTAAAGTGAACTGGATTAAGCCACATTAGCCACATCCCCCCCACCCCGCCTATTGACCTATCTCATTGCGTTGGCAGGTTTCACACCTACACCTGCACGATGAAAGGAACTTTTTGAAGCAGAACATTTTTGTTTAAGTATCTCCAGAGGCTGCAGAATCAACCACGCTGTTATTTATGTCGTTAATTAGCCAACCGCCGCCATTATGTCTGCAACCAGCCCCCCGAAACAAGCTGCGGCCTCATCGTTTGGTTTCGACCGAGGCTGGTTTACGGTAAAGGATACAGCAGATACATGAGCTTACTTAAACCCGCTGTTGGTCCTGAAACGTCGTCCGGGGTATGCTGGAGGGGGGTCAGGTCACTCAGACCCCTCAGAAGGGCCCCCTGTGAGTGGATCAGGAAGTTAAAGACTGTGTGCACTTCTCACTGTAAAAAAATGTTGTGTAGGAGTTAAAATAATATAGAATACGTGTTCATATTAATGTGAATGTCAATGTTTCATTCTAAGGACGTGTTGTGTACTTGCATTTTACTTTTGCTTTCACTCACTTCGCACTAGGGCTGCAACTACCAACTTTTAAAATTAATTTGTGATTAAATTGTTGATAATTTTCTCGATTAATCTTTTAGTTGGTTCATAAAATGTTAAAAAACACTGTGTCCCAAAAGCCAGAGGCGACGTTCTCAATTGTCTTGCTTTGTCCACAACCCAAAGGTTTTCAGTTTACTGTCATAGACGACTAAACCAGATAACCAAAAAATATTCCTAACTGAGAAGCTGAAATCAGAGAATTTGGTCATTTTATTTTAAATAATGACTTAAAACATTTGATCGATTATCAAATTGTTGTTGATTAATTTAATAGTTGACAACTAATTGAATCACTGACTAATGTGGCAGATCTATTTTTCTATGGAGCTTCAATGAAACACAAAATGCTTCACTCCTACGTTTGGCCTCACAAAAACATCTGTATCAATCAGGTAAAAGCCTATATTATATCAGACTTTATCAGATGCTGAACCCTGGGTTGCTCGCAGCCACTGGGGCAGAGAAAACATATGCCAAACAAATATGGAATAATATAATATTAACTTTTTTCATGACACATATAAATGTGTTTATATTTAATATACATTTCACTCTAAACAACTAGTTATTTATTACTGGCCCATATTTGTACCCGGTTACTTACTGGGTCTCTCTGTAAAGTCACTCTTGACTCTATTGTGGGAGTGTCAGTGGGCTCAAATGACCTTTTGAAAAACATCCCTCTTATCATCTATCCAAGCACATATCACACAGATCTAGGAGATAAAGAATGTCCTGCAGGTTTAAATGCTCTGTTACAACCTTACCATGAAGTTTGTAAAATACCTTCACTCATTGTTCACTCTCATTGGACTAACTTGGATATAACGTTTGGATCTCATTGGATCACTGTGGTAATGTTTGCAGGGCTGCAAGGAGGTTTAGTGGTTGGTATAAGCAACATATCAACATATACAGATTAGATTTGCCCTTCTACCCAAAGCATTCACCATTATCAGGGGCAAATCGCACTGGTGTAGCTACAACACATTTTACAGCCATTGGTCCCTTTAAACCATTTGTAAAACTGACCACCAGGGGGTGCAAGGTGCAAAGATCTGAAACTTTAAATATCCAAATGAAGTTGAATCTTTCAGGATAAGTCAACTTGTCCAACTGTGAATGTTTTAGCTGCTGAATGATTTTGGTGTATGATATAAAAAATAAAAGATAGAAGATAGTCAGGATGGGATGGATATTATATCCATGTGCTCCATTTAATCACCATCATTGTACAGTACATTGGTATTCAAATGTTATGATGTAGCATTTTGTATCATGATTAGTTATAATGTTATTGATCAATTGTTCCCAGACAGAAAGTATTATTAATATTGTAAATGTTAAATATCAACACACACGGACACAAAGTGAGAGTGTTTTGGTAACTTTTATTTTACTAAAAAAGGGGGGGAAAAGTTCACATTAACATTTAGCCTCAATATTACAGTATATTGAAATTCTTCTCAAAGGAAGTAAAATACAACATTTTTTATTTTATTTTAATCTTATATTAAAAATATCAAATAGTACTCATCTAGCAGTGCTTACAGTAATTTAAGATATGTCGCAGGCTTGATAGCAGAAAGGTTGGCTTTGTACAGAGCAGAGATGGGCGTTTGCCAGTCTTAGCGAGGGCCTTGCAGAGACAACCTACCTTTGTGTTACCCGGCCTGGTTTGATTGACAAGCTGAACATGCAATGAGGGCAACTACACAAATCATCCTATAGATTATACTGGTGCAGTAAGACACTTGGAACAAGCTTGCAATGAAACAACAAGAAAAAAAGCTAAATGTTCCAATCGTGTTTTTTTTATACCCCAACAACCCTCACAGAGTGCCCTTTTCTTCTCTACAAAGTGATCTGAAATTAATTGGCTGACTTTCTGGTGATCTTATCAGTACAGCTTACCAACCATGGACATGGTGAATGAGAAAATCAGACTAAAAATAACATCACTACCTGAATAAACTTCAAAAAACAGACTCCTTAGA